TGAGAGGCCCTCGGTGGGGAGCTTGGCCAAGTCTTTAAAGGATGCAATCTAGATCCCTTTTAATCTTTCTGGAGCTCTGAAAGAGTATTAACCATGGACATAAATCTGGCTCTTCTCTTAAAAAATTAGAAAGGAGGCTCTCTTTATGATACAATTTTCAGCACAAATGCATTGTACAAATTCTGATTTGGGTGTGTTTGGGTAGTGGAGGGAAGACTGTAATTCTACAGGTGATTGTAGCCTATAGGTAAGAATCACATCTGATCTCACAAAGTTAAGACTGTAATGTTAACATATTTGAATAGGTCAGATGCCCTTATTGGCCATGTTGTCTTGTGCAGACATCGGCCTGTTGTTGCCTGGTTAGACTGAGGTTGGCCAGGAAAGCAGACCTTCTGCTGGTGCGGGGCAGGGGGTGGTGGGGGAGGGGGGCGGGGGGCGGGGGGCGGGCGGGGAGCTAGGTATTCTTAGCTGTGGCTTTCATGCCAGCTAAGCAGGAAGTGGGGACTGCAGCAGCACTCTGTTGAGAGGAGTGTCTAGCTGACGGAATGGCAAGTTACCCAGTGGCCTCGAGGACATTCTGCTTTCTTCCAGTCTGATATAGCACCAAAGGTACCAACAGACTAGCGTTCTAGATTCAGTCCCGGCGCCAAATAGCTGTATGACTTCAGACAGGTGGTTGCCCTTTCTGCTTCAGCTACCTCACCTGCAAACTGAGAATGAGAAGACCTGCCCCACTACTGAAGAGAATGATTATAAGGATTGGATGAATCTTTATTGATAATAAGGTACTGTTAAGTCATTATGTCTTAGGGACCTCCCAAGGCCGTTTAGCTTGGTAAGTGAGAAGAGAACATTCAGGGATCAGGGTGATGGAGTTCCCAGCGCGGGGAATGCCCCATCGTGTCTTGGAAACCTCATCCCGTGAACAGATGGCTCTCAAAAAAGCAGGGTTGGGGGACTGGGAGACATTCTGCGGAGGTTCCACTGAGGCACGTCAACCGAGTTGCTGTTCTCCGGGCCAGTGCTTTTCCTACACGCTTCAGAGCTGCCCAGCCACTTCGGTGACATCATCCATCTGGCATGTAATCTTAGTTGAATTCCATGTATCTCTTGCTCACCAGATTCCTAAATTGTGAGAATACGGATACATTGACGGGCTTGTCTGCCTGCCCGCCTGACCTTTCGGTTTTCTCTGTGGCTGCTTCAGCCCCTATCCCCTCGTGCCATCCTGCCCCCACCCCTTGCCTCCTCCACTCCCACCATCTCAGAGCAGAAGCTTTCTCATCTTACTGGCTGTCAGAAACTTGGTTTCCTTAGCAGTCGGTTTTCCTGTCGTTCCCCTGTAAAAGTGTTCCCATCACACTTGGATTTCTTACAGCGCTGATGCTTTCCGAACAAGTGGAGTGAAAGCTAAGGACACAAATTCCAGTTCTGCTTCTTTACCCTCTGGGGCAGAGGCTGTCTGCTTTCTCTAGGTTGTTTGGGGCAGGGAAATGCAGTTCTCTGGGTCTCCCAATCTTGACTCCTTCTCTCCCATCCCCCAGGTTGCTACCAGAATGATCTTTCTAAATGGAAATGTTACTTACTTGCTCAAAGCCTGATGACTCCCCTCTGCCCATCCAGGTTCCCTGGGCCCCTGGACACACTGATGGCTTTGTTTTGGCCCAGCACCATGTTGGCCTCCACAAGGTTTAAAACAATTTAAATTAGTAAGAACATTAAAGATTGGAAGATGTCTTATAAAATCCACAGTTTGAGTTTCTCTTGGAAGGTTGTTAGATGGCAATGCTGGGCACCAGGAACTGGGCAGGGCTGCCTCTTAGCCACAGCAGGCTTCTCCAGATGGCACACCTCCTGCTACAGCCTCGTCACTCCCTTACGTTACCTGGGGAGGTTCTGGGGTTTGCTCCCCCCATTACAGCATCAAGTTCAACTTGAGTTAAAATCAACTTTTTACCAGGTATATGGGATCCATACCAGTTAGGCCCCAACTACATCTGCCCCCAACTCCTGCCCCATCCCTACAGGCTTTTCTAGAATAGCTTTGCTATGAAATGGTTAGTTGTTTGCCTGTTTGAGTTTGCTTACCCTTTCATTTTATTTTATTTTGTTATTTTTTTTAACTGAAGAGACCCATCTTGCAGATCCCTCTGGAGCATCCATTACAGGCAAGGGTGTGCCTGGCTTGGCCACACCACAATTATGGGGTGTTTCAAGGAAGTTACATTTCAGATTTTCATGGCGTATTGATCCAAAGCGTCTGTGAAGGGCAAGAAGCAGAGGAGGGAAGAGAGCAGATGGGGCCCTTTCTGTGCTTTCGGTCATTTCCAAAACAAATACATTTCATTTGGCTACGTGGTCATGTGTTTGCAGACATTCTGCTCTGTGATGCTGAGGACATAGCAAAATGGTTTACCTTGGTTAGGATATCTGTTTTCAAACATTGCCCATTCTTTCCCAGAATTACAGGAAAATTGATATATCAGCCTCGTTACTTGAACTTCTAGACAATAAAATAAATTCAAGCTATTGAGTAATTACTTCCTTTATTGTTGTTCACATTAAGTCCAGGAGCTTGCCGAGGAGTGATGTTCAGAAACCTGGGCACTTGCTTCTCCAGTTTCAAGATACTGATGCATAGGTTGGGTTTTATCTTACTGGGGCCATTACTTGCTCCAGGTTGCACTCTGTGCTGGTACCCAAACTTGATTTCCCCAGGAGGAGTCAGGCTTTAGGAATTTATGTTATCCTAGCCAAACTCATAAGATCTATTACTAAACTAGAATATTCCTTTTCTTTTCATTTACTGAACACCTACTAAGTGTGTGGCCCTGTCCTAATGTCTGGAGAAACAAAAATAAATCACAAATATGATGTGGTCCCTACCATTTAGAAGCTTATGGTATAGAAGTAGGACAGATATGTAAGCAAATACATTATATATCATGTGCTAAGAGTAGGGTGACCTTATATCTTGGGGACATCCTAGTGTATGCCTGCTGTCTGGTATAACTACTAATAGTGCCGCCTTTCAAACCATCTAAGGGCCACAGTAAAGGTTTCTGTTAACGTTTGGGGTATAGAGATGGTAGATGGGGGAGAAATCAGCCGTTTTTCCAGAGTAGACTCTTGAGCTGGGTGATGAAGGAAGTTTGGGCAGTCAAGGTCAGGGAGCTCAATGTGTGGGCAAGGGGGAGGGGCACGTGCAAAACTGCAGGCAAAAGGGAAATTGTTCCGGAAGCAGCAGTCAGTCCAAGCTAGTCATTGTTTGCCAAATTTATCCTGTGAAAAAAATTCCCCAAGATACTTGGTAAAAATACAGATTGCCAGGTCCTGCTGGTAATCTGGATTGGTATTTTTAAAGAAGCACCCCAGATAATTCTGGGACATACTGAAAGTTCAGAACCAATTCTCTACTGATTATGGCAAGGAATACAAAGGGCTGGGAGTAAAGAGGAGCAGGAACAGCAAGACTAGAGCACAAGTCACCTATTAGTCAGGTGGGGGGACCCCAGGTGGGAAAACCCTCAGAGGTAGAACTAGTTGGAAGACATTTCCAGTAGACCTATGAAAAATGGACAGTGTGGGAACTATATGTCAGCTACAATGGGGATGCAGAGGAATGAAAAGATTAGAGAACTACTCGGGAGGAAGAATGAACAGGACCTAGGATATGCCGGTTACTGATTTCCAGGCAATAAAACACTTGTGTGAAATCCAGAAACCTAGGGGACCTTACAACCTGAAGGTTTAAATGGTGAGCCATAAACCTAAAAAGACAAAGAACTGGATAACGTTGTGATGTATTTCATGTGGACGTTAAAAAAAAAAATGACTCCTGCTTACTTCCCATTGTTGTGATCTCCAGAACAGTCATGACAGTTGTGTTTATCTCTGGAAAGGAGCTGGATGAGCTCTAAAGCATCCTGACACACCCAACCCTTTTATCTAGACTTCAGGCAAACCTCTGCCCTTCTGTTAGGGTAAGACTACTTGCCTTATTTTTGCTTCTGTTTTTGTTATGGAATGTGTGAGACAGTCATGACTCCTCAACAGTACCAACCCCCGATCAAGGCAGATGGTCGGCCTGGTGCAGTTTCAGCATGACTTTGTTCCTAAATTCTGGAGCTGCCCTTTCTGTGAGAACCTGACGTCACCTCACAGATTCACCGCAACTCTGGGAAATTACAATAGGACAAGAAACGCCCTATCCAGGCCAGGAGATCGTGAAGCCTGGTGTTTGCGGTTTGTGGCAGCTGGCTTCCTTGGTGCACTGGAAATTCTGAGGCGAGCAATCCCTATATGGAAAATGAAGAAAATCCGAGGAGAGCTCTGCTATTTTCCTCTGCCTTCCAACATAAAGAGGGTTTTTATTGTGAAGGCTGCCTTCACCAGGCCTGTTGGCATACTTCTGAAGCAGCAAACGAAGTCGGAAAGCGGAGACTTAGAAGTTATGAAGAGAAAGCCTCAAAAAAGGAGAATGGGAAACCGATCAGGCTATAATTTCACGGGGTAATTTGGCACCCTTGACCAGAGACCTGGCCCCAGAGCGTCCACGAGTGCGGTTTGGGGAGGGACAAAACATCTACAGTTCCAGTGCTTGGCTACTCTTGTAGCGTTGCTGAGGAATTTCCAAATCCTGGGAGCGACAGGGTCGGAGGTGAGCAGGCTGAAATCTTCCACGCTGTCAGTGTCGGGGAGGGGGAGAAACACCAGGCAACAGCGACCTCAAAGTTTTTTTTTTTTTCAATAAGGGGCTTCACTTCTGTGCGGCCCAATGTCACAACGCCATTAAGTCACAGTAGCAAGATGAGAAAATAAGAAGGGAAGGAGGAAAAGTCCAGCGTGCACGGACCCGGAAAAAGGATCTTCCCTGCTCCTGCCGCTGACGGAGCTGTTGGGGGCGCCTGGGTGCTCTGCCCGCCGGAGTCGCAGCGGGGCAGCCCCCTTCCCGCAGTCCGGGCGCGACCAGAGCGGCGCCGCGGCGGGGGGATCGGGCGGGCGCGCCGAGGACTTCAAAGGCCCGGCGCTGCCGCCGCCCCCGCGCGCGCGCGCGAATAGTACGGTCCAAGGGGGCGGCTCCTGGGGCGCGGCTCCCGCGGCAGCTGATGCGCGCCCCGCCGGCCGGGAGGCGGGAGCCAGAGACCCCCGAGACCCGAGCCGCCCGGCGCCGCGGGCCGGGGCCCTGAGGAGGCCCCAGGAGAGGCATCTTCCCGGCGGGAGTCGCCGGCGCGGAGGTGGCCGCGGCCGCACCGTTCGGAAAGGAGGACGAAGAGGAAGCTGCGCTGCTTGCCGGCGGAGAGGAAGCGCTCCACCCGGGCCCCCGACGGCGCTCGTTTAACCACATCCGTGCCTCCGCTGGAAACGCTTACAGGCGCCTGTCACCCGTTCCCTCCATTTTGAAAGGGAAAAAAGGCTCTCCCCCTTCCCCTACTCTTAGGACCTGGAGCCGGAGGAGCCGCGCTCATGGCGTTCAGCCCTTGGCAGATCCTGTCCCCAGTGCAGTGGGCGAAATGGACCTGGTCCGCGGTGCGCGGCGGGGGCGCCGGAGAGGACGAGGCCGGAGGGCCAGAGGGCGACCCCGAGGAGGAGGACTCGCAAGCCGAGACCAAATCCTTGAGTTTCAGGCAAGTACACGCATCCCTGCCGAGATGCAGACGTGCTGCCATCCATCCATCTGCGGCTCATTCTGTGTGCGTGTGTGTGGTCGCTCACCCGCGTAACCATTATCATCGCAATGCCTCCGTCCCTACCCGAAACCGGGTCCCCGCTGTGCATTCGAAAGTTCAGGATGTAACGTCTGGTATTACCTTTCCCCCGTTTCAGTATGAGCTTTCAGAACCTAACCCAGAATCTGCAGTCTTTCCGCATCCCGGTCTGCTTCAGTCACTTTCCCTTAAGCTTCGAGTCCCTAGCCCCCGCCCCTACACACACACAGTGTCATTGATCACAGCCGGTAGAACTTGGGGCCCTCCCTGTGGGGGAAGAAGTCGCTCCCAGGCCCTCCTGGTGTCCCTCTGTGTACCGAAAATGCAACCTTGGTACAGAAGGTCGCGTGATGACAGGCCCCTGGCAAGCTGGTGAGAAATGGTGGTCTTTGCTGAGCTGTCACCGAGTGATTGAGGAAGGCAGGTGACAGTATTCTCAGCTTGGGGCCGAGTGAGTTCCAAACAGGTAGAGGCCTGCCTAAGAAAAAGGCATCATGGCGAGAGCTGACTTAATTTTTAGGAGGAGGGGGCAATCTTAATTTTTAAGCCTATGAAAAAGGGTTCTTGTTAGAAAAGGAGTCTGTTGAAAAGCGCTTTGGGGGGGATATCAGAAGAAAGGATGACCTCAAAAATAAATGGTGCTGGAGAAAAGCTCTGGAGGATGGAGGAATATCAGGGAGACAGGATGCCAGGCAGAAGGCCGAGGAGGGCCCAGCGAGAAAACCCCATGGTGAGCTCCCACAGGCCAGTCCTGCTGAGGACTAGTGGGTTGTAAAGTTAGGCAAAAATGCTGGACTTTAGCCTTGTCGATATATAGACTGTAAAAGGTGTCGGAAGTACCGTTGAAAGTGGTAATTCCTCATTTTTCCCCCTTGGCAGCTCGGATTCTGAAGGTAATTTTGAGACCCCTGAAGCTGAAACACCAATCAGATCGCCTCTCAAGGAATCCTGTGATTCATCCCTAGGATTGGCAGGACGGGGGGCCAAAACCCAAGGTAAAGAAAGACTTTCATTTTCTGCCTCTTTTGTTTTAAAGTTTTGAAAATGTAAATGAGGGAAGGAAGAGTGTTAACTTAGGGCCATTTAAAAAGCTTTGGATTGAGTACTTACCAAGAAAGGAGCTGTTTTAAAGCTCCTGGCTTATTTGAACTGTTTTTGTTTGTTTTTTAGGAATGTGGTGGTCAGAGGCTTTCTTCCTAAGTAGTTTGTACATTTGCAGGATGAGATTATCAAACATTCCTGCTGGGCCGTTCCCCTCAGCCCCCCAAAAACAAAAATGTATGTGGTAATGCAGAGGTGGGGGAGGAATGTTTAAATTTGGCCCTGGATAGTTCTCAGGCTAAGTCACTTTCTCCAGGGGTGTGTGTAGCTGGAGACAAAAATTACAGGTAAGAGTTGATTATTTAGATAGGAAGGAATCTTAAGAAGCTGTTTTAAAATTGTTTACCTCTCCCCTCATCTACATAGGAATGGTGGTGAGCTTCACAGTCTACCTAAGAAAACCTGGCACAGAGATTGTCTCCTAGCCCCCCTCAGAGCTCAACCTTGAGCCTGCCCTTCATCTACAAAAGCTTCTGTTGTTTCATTTAATTAGTAGGAACCTTTTTTGTCACACAGCCAGTTTTGAGTAAAATTTCACCTGTCCTGGTAGAATCTGTTTATCCACGCAATAGAGTGCGCTCTGATTCAGCAGTGAATAAGTCTTGCTCTCACTGAGCTAACATTATGGAGGGAGAGGGATCTTTTAAAGGTTAAGCAGGATACATACGTCAGCTTGTCTTACGTATTATGGAGAAAAATAAAGCCGTGGAAGGAGGAATAGGGTGTGTGGGGTGGGGATAAGAGATGCTGAAGGGTAATTAGGCGGAGCCTTGCCTATAAGGGAACTTGAGCAGAGCCCTGAAGGAAGATTGAGGGAACAGTCTTGCAGATTCTTGGGGAGGGAACCCTTTCAGCAGAGTGAATGGTTATCTGCAAAGGCCTGAAGCAGGACCAGCCTGGGATGGAGTGAGGCCCTGCGGTGGGAGGGTTTTGAGGACCAGTGAAGAGGCCAGTGTGACTTGAGTGGAGTGACTAGGGAGGGAACAGTAGGAGCTGAAGTTAGCCAGATAAAGGGAAGTCTGGAACATTTTGTTAATGGTTTAAAATGACAGAAATGTATTCTCTCACAGATTTGGAGGCTAGAAGTCCGAAATCAAGGTGTCAGCAGAGCCACAGAGCCAGAGGTTCTAGGGACCAATCCTTTCTTGTCTTCTCTAGCTTCTGGTGGTTGCTAGTAATTCTTGGTGTTCCTTGGCTTGTGGCAGCATAACTTCAGTCTCTGCCTCCTTCATTACATGACAGGCTGCTCCCTGTGTGTCTTTGTGCCTTCACATGACATTCTTTTAAGGACACCAGTCAGTGGATATAGGGATCCTTCTAATCCGGTATGACCTCATCTTAACCTGATTACATCTGCAAAGGTATTATTTCCAAATAAGGTCACATTCACAGGTATGGGAAGTTAGGAATTCAACATACCTTTTTTTTTTTTTTTTTTTAAGAGAGAGAGTGCTAGAGGGGGGAAGGGGCAGAGAGAGAGGGAGAGAGAGAATCTTAAGCAGGCTCCACGCCCAGCACAGAGCCCCACACACAGGGCTCTGTCTTGCCACCCTGAGATTATGACCTGAGCTGAAATCAAGAGTTGGACACTTAACCAACTGAGCCACCTAGGCGCCCCTCAGCATATCTTTTTGAGGGACACAGTTTAACCCACAACAGAGGGCTTTGAGCAGAGCCATCATGCTTTGACATCTTTTCTCAAAGGCTACCTGGCTGCTGTCTGGAGAAGGGACTCTCTAGCATGGATGTCCTTTTTGAGTGCTTTTTCTTTTCCAATGTCTGTCACTGTCACCCTATGATGGCAGATAGAGCCAGCTTTCAGTTATCCTGTTAACTAGTTTTTGACCTGATGATAACTTTTTTCTACTAATAGTTATCGTATTTTTTGGCTTCATAACTTCCTCACAGGTTGCTTGGGGAAGTCAGGTGCTCTGTGATAGACTTCATGAAGGAGCTGGAATTATTGTTCAAATGATTCCAGCTTTTTGAGATTTGATTTTGCTTTGAATCAGGAGGTTCATACTGCACTTCCCCTGCTGAGAATTCGGCCATATTCTCAACCCACCCTGGATTGCTTTTCACCATTGTTTTTGGAAGAGACCCGCATGGGAGCAGGCATGTTATGTATCGGAGCGCTCGGTGTGTCACTTAGCTTTACAGCACAGAAGAGAAGATGCACTTGTTCTTCATAACTTCCCTTTTCCTCTCCTAAGATTGGCAGATTAGAAAGGAGATTTGAAACCTGCAAAGAATTATTTTGATGCTTTCCCATCAAATTTAAATAATGCTCACCAGACATGTTAAGTAGCTACTTGAAAGTCTCTTTGAATTGCCCTCAGCTTGGGCAGCCCCTTCCTCACCATTCCAGCAGTTGGTAGTCTGATTCATTGCATAGAGGCCTGTATGGCTCAGACCCCCAGAGCCATAGAGACCCAATCGTTTGGTCCTTCCTGTGCCACTGACTCTTTTTTACATGTTTTGGTAACTTCTAGCTCACACTCTTTTTCTCACTCTCCCTAAAAGGTTTCTTCTTAGGGTCGCGGACCAGGAAAGCTCTGTGGAGTAGATCATGGTTGAAGGCCGTGTCTTTGGCAGGGGAGGGGGTGGGTGTACAATCTGGGAAATTACCACTCTGTATTAAGAAATCTTTCAATTTAGGGTCTTTAAATAATAGGATGATTGCATATCAGCCTGGTAGTATCCTGCCTTTGAGAACTCCTGCCCAACATGCAGAAGGAGACTGTTAGTCCAGAGTCTTGTTGATGGCCTTGTTACACATACACAGTATGTATTTAGTACGAAAGCACAGGTCTGACCAGGAAAGGTATCAGTGGACAAAAATTCCTAGAGACTCATTTCATGTTGAAGTCTTAATTTCTGGGCTTGGATGGTCCTCTTTCTCCTGGAATTGTTGATCATTTGGCTCCTGATAAAGTTAGTCTTTCATATTTCTGTGGTTTTAGGACGTGGTGGGGCAGCAGGTAGAGATTATATAAGACTATATCTTCTGGAGGGATGATTTATGAGTTGTTAGTCAGGGGTTGGATTTAACATATGTAAAAGATCCTGGCTTCCTGGTATATAATGGCCCTCCAATGTATGGGCTGTATCCCATATCCCATACCCATGGCCCCCACCCCAAACTCCATCTAATTCTTAGAACACAGGGAAACATTTGAAGTTAATTTTCCATGTCTATTTGAAGTTAATTTTCTTTTTATTGGAAGTTTTTTTGGGGAACTTACAGTATCTGAACCCTGTAATGCTTCTTTGAGACAGTTATATGCCATTCTAGGAATTAAACGGTAGATGAGGTTGTGGGGATTTTTTAAGCCACAGGTTTCAGACTAACTGCTAAAATAAAACTTGAGCCACAGAGGTTCCTTGAAAATACCAGAGTAGTGGCTGTAATATTTGGGCTGGTAATTCTGTGTTTTCTGTCTGCCTCCCTCAACAAAGAGTGTTTAAGCTCCTGCTGTTACTGTTCTTTCTCTTTCCTGGGGGATGATCAATGAGGAGACATCACCAATGAGAGGACTTTTGAAGAAGGTTCAATCTCAAGTTCATCTTTTTTTTTTTTTTTTCTTTTTTGGTGGCCTGTGCATTGTTTTAGACTTTAAAAGTGAATGTCCTCTGCTACTAGAAGCCTCCTTACTGCACACGTATCTTCATTTAATTCTTGCTGAAGCTCTCATACGCCCTTGGAGCAACTCGTTAAACCTACGCTGTTTGATGTGTTAATTAGATGCTTCAGTATTTCAAAGACATAGGATAGTCCTTCTGAATAGAAGGAAAGATAAACAGGATCAATCTGCATATATTTACTGCTGGAGGCCTGGGGGGAATGCAGAGTTGTTTGTTGACACCCTTTTGGTAGTCTAGATCCGGAATCAGGCTGTGGCTCAGAGACCAGATGTGGCGTGCTGCCTGCTATGGCCGATTGTTCTGCCTGGGAGCTAAGAATTATTTTTACATTTTTAAATGGTTGAAAAAAATTGTGCTGTGTGAAAATTATATGAAATTCAAATTTTAGGGCCCATAAATAAAGTGTTGTGGGAATGCAGCCCCACTTGTTCACTTAGGGGTGATATCTAATATGGCTGCTTTCACACTAAATTAGCAAGGTTTTTCTGTTTGTTTTTAAGTGGGCTCCACACCCCCTGTGGGGCTTGAACTCACAACCCTGAGATTCAGAGTCATATGCTCTATCTACTGAGCCAGCCAGACGCCCCTGAAATAGCAAGGCTGAGTACTTGGAACGGAGACTGGCCAGCAAAAGCCTAAAATACCTACTCTTTGGCTCTTGACAAAAATGTTTGCTGATGTAGATACACTTAAGACAATTTTGATAAAAATCTAAAGCTTAAGTAATTTGGGATAACTTTAAAGAAAGCGGCAAGGCTAGCCATGATTAATTAACAATGAAGCGTGAGGCCAGGTAGCATTAGTGTAGGCCTGTATGGTCAGGTAAAGCTTTGGGATAAGACTGGTTTGGGCTGGCTATTTGTCTCCCTTGGAAAACACAAATGTCATTGGGCTGTCAGTGTACCTGATTTTCAATTAACTAAAAGATCCAAGGAGTTATGAAAAAAGGAAATTAGGGAAGAATGAAGAGAGTTTGGGAATCATTTAATGTAAGTACAAATATATAGACCTTAAACTTTTGCCTATTAACTGTTTTTTAATGGTTTTAATGTAATGGTTTTAATTTCATTTAATGGTTTTAATTGGGTGTTTCAGAATTTATTTGCCGGTTGATGTGGTATATTGTTGGCGTATGTTGTAGGGTTGAAATGGTATATTTATTGGATTGTTTCAGACTGTACGTATGTTAAGACCTAGAATGCAAATCTTGTTAAAATGTAAGCCTTAGGTTTTTGATCCTAAGGCTTTC